GAACTGCCAGTTTGCACTTAAAGCACAATAAAACAACAAAAAAACCCTGCCTATTCCTTTCTCGAACTTGCTCAGTAGCATATGGCTGGAGAGAAAGATACAACCATCGATGCTACTTTCTCATCTTTCCAAAAACTTCAAACACCTCCTCCCCTGTCCTCAGTTTATTTCACTGAGAAAATAGAAGTAACTTCCAGAAAATGCCACACCTACCAACTAGCCCTTGTACCAAATGCCTTTCTCCATTTTGATGAATGTTGCTTAATGTCCACCCAGTTGTGCTAGCTCCCATCCTCTCTTGCCTCCTCAAGGACACAGTGTACTCTCGCTCTGTTAGATCATCAGTTTTCTCTCTTGAGCATTCTTATCATTAACAACAACAAAAAGCTTCAATATTCTGCATCTTTTAATACAAAACCTGGAACCCATATTCCTTTTCTGAGAAACGTATTGAAGAACCATCTATACTAATTGGCTTCCATTCCTCTCCTTCCAATCTCACTGGAACCCACTTCGGTCAGCTTTCGGGCGCCACCATCCCACTGCTCTGACCTGCTCTGGTCAAAGACATCAGCTATGTCCACAGTGGTCGAGTTTCAGTCCTCACTTCATCTATCAGCAACATCTAACGACCCATCACTCTTTGAAATGATTACTCACTTGGCTTAGGGGAGGGCACCACCCCTACCCGACTTCACTGGCTGCTCCCTCTCTTGCTGGCTCATCTCCTCAGATCTAAACATAACTATGCATCAGTGCTCAGTCCTTGTACCTCTTCTCTGTCCACACTTAACAGCCATCTCATAGTGATCTCATCCTGTCTCAGGATGACACCTCCCACATTTACTCTCTCCAGCTGGGCCTTTCTCCTAAATTCTAGTTTCAAATACATAGCTGCCTACTTGACACCCCCATTTGGATGTCTAAAAGGTATTTAAAACTTGCTGTCTTAAACCAAAATTCTTCTGTACACACCCCCAAATCTACTCCTAAATTCTCCTCCATCTCAGTAAATGGCCACTGTAGGTCAGCCGGCCAGAAACCGTGGTGTCATCTTTGATTCCTCTCATCATACCCTACATTCAAGCATTAGCAAATCCCGTCTGCTCCACCTTCAAAATATGCCTAGAATCGACTAGTTTCAGCCAGGTTCAAGCCTCTATCATATCTCACCTGCATTATTCCAAGAGCCTCCTAACCGGTCTTCTGAGCTTCCACCTGTCCCCTTTCTAACAGAAGTCAAGGAGATCACGCTAAATCTCATCACGTCACTTTTCTTCCTCGCTGGTTTCCTATTTATTCAGAATAAAAGCCAACCTCCTACACCCTCAACCTCTCTCCTCTCGTCTTCCATCTTCCCCTTCTCCAGCCACAGTGACCCACCAGCAGCATATCCCCTCAGGACCTCTGCATGGATTACTTCCTCTTCTTGGAGCATTATTCTCACAGATAACTGTACCATTCCCTCACTTTAGGTTTCTGCTCAAATGTCACCCCGAGGCTTTCCCTGATTATTCACAATAAAAATAGCACACCTCTCCCCGTTACATCACTGTTTCTCTACCAGAAAGCTCCATTAGAGATTTCTGCCTGCTCTGTGTCTGCCCAGAGCAGTGTGGGGCACACAGAAATCTTTTTTTTTTTTTAATTGCTGAAGTAATGAACCCATGGTGTTTGTCACCATCTGACCTACTATATATGTTGTCTGTCTGTCCCTCCTGGAGTGTAAGCTTCGAGAACACAGAACAGTGCCTGGCACACAGTATGTGCTCAGTGTTTATTGAATGAACAAATAGATGGTAAAGGAGCTCCTCTGGGTTTTATAGTGAAGTGTTCTCCTTCTCACTACAGGTTTAATTTTAGAAGGCTACTGAAATTTGTTAACAATTCAAATGTTACTTACCATCCCCTTTTAGGCATTTTTATCAGTAAAATTTCAAATGTAGTTTTTCATTAAAAGGCATGTAAACCATTTACCTGTTTTCTCTTCATGCAAACAGCACAATTTTTGTTTGAAAAAAATGTTTCTGAAAGTGAACTGAAGTTAAATCTTTCTGCAGACACTACAACCTTCCCTGAGGAGTGGGGGCCCTACCCGACTGCTGGCTGCGGGCGCGTCCTGCGCTCTGTCCGCCGGCCTCTCCTGCCGTCCCGGGCCTGCAAAGCACAGAAGCAGCTTCGCGTTTCTCACCCCGAGACTGCCCGTGCCAGGCACGCCAGCCTACACCGCACAGGGCTGGTGTGAACGTGGGAGGACTGTGACAGATGCAATTAAAGGCCAAACCACACATTGTCATACAGATTTTAATCGATTTTGATTAACTCATCACAGTAATCATTTTTACTGTAATGATATGCAGCTTTACTACACTAGTATAAGTAAAAACAGATAAATACAGTTCTAGGTAACATCGCAGATTAACAAACTAAGCATTCTTCATGAACCAAAACTGAAAACAATTGTTAAGAGAAGATGCTGACACCCTTGCCCATTCTCACCATACCTTCTCAAAAAGGGTACTCAAATAAGGCGCTACGCTTTCGACAGTGGTCAATTCATTTGCCAATTAGCCAGGCACATGTATTTATTTCATGGTCTCCACTATTTCACCGTTTGGTTGAAAAGAAGACATACCTCAACGTATCAAAAACTGGAACAGATAATAATACCAAAGAAAACTGAATGCATTAAAAATACAGCACTTTTCCTGTATTCCAGCAGTAAGATACATCAGGAATGCAAATATTATACCAAAGAAGAAAATTAGTGCTTTAATATCCACCCTGAAATGTCAGTCTCTAAAGCAGGATGGGCAGTAGAAGTAGGACCTGAAATCAAAAAAGGAAACATGGAAAATAAAACGTGTGTGAAGTTGCGTTTAATGGACGAAGCTATCTGCACGAAAACTGCTCTCTCCTCTGAAGGCTTGTAACTTGGGACAAGTAATTAAGTTATCCAGTAGCCACGCCGAGGAGTTCATGCCCTGGCGGTGCCTAGCACACTGCAAATACGTGGAAGACAAGTTGCAGGTATACTGAATTATCCCTTAGAAATTATTTGACTCTGGACAGCCAGAAAGAACTCTGAAGGTGCTATGTAGAAAACCTGACGTCTGCCACAGGAGTTTGTCATTACAACAGGATACTTGTTTTAACCAGACAGCACAGCTAAAAATGTTCCAAGAAATTCCTAAAATTTTGCTTAACTTTCAATTGTCCTTCTAATATGCCTTTATGATGTTATAGCATTATGTGATCTTACAGATCTTACAGATATATTATTATTAAGAATGAGGAAGTGAAGCATCACTTCCAAAACTTCCAAGAAATTAAAAATGGTTAATTTCTCGCTATGTTTCAGAAAACATCTGTCTGCAAAAATTCCTTTTCCTACCAAAGTTGCATAATCACAGAATATTTAGGACAGTCCCTTTGAGTATATTGCCTTTGCTGATAGTGAATTAATTAAGACCATGATTAAGACAGACATTTCAAAAAACAAAAATCCCAAACACACTCCAGTATACTTTCAACTCATTTTGCAAAAATGTGCACTGTGGATGTGCAAACCATCACAGAACACTTTTAAGTATGGATTTGATCTACCCAAAGATTCAGAAGTTATGCTATATTTTTAAGTGCTACTTTTGCAATTCTATTGTCTTTATTTAAAGGTTAACAATATTTAACTTTTGGTTTTAATTTGGAAAGTGATTTGTAGTGTTTCAAGCTTCCAGTTACTGAGTCAAAATGGACAGATCAGAAGACAGAATCCCGGAGATGGCAGTGAAGATCAGAAAAAGGAGTTATGTACACAGTGGATCCTAGAGAAAGAACCACACCTCTTCTTAAACCCTTGTTCCCATTGTAAACTTTGTTCATATCTCCATATGTGTATGTCTGAATTAGTCTATAAAAATCACATTAAAAAGGTAAAATGATTTAAGTGAGATATTAACTGATCTGTATTTTATAAATTTTAATCCATAAAAATATAAATAAGAATGGTAAATTTTTAAGCAAAGAAATATACATTTAGTGCAAGTTATGAATTACATTTCATCTTCGGTGTCAGCAGTAAAATATCTTGAGGAGAGAAAAAAAAGACTGCCCTAATTTCAAGAAAGAAACTCCAGTGTTTTAACATGCAGTTACCACCAGCTGCAGCTAACAGAACGAACGCTTCCTTCTTACTGTCAAAGCAGCAGTGTTTTGCTTCCTTCTGCTGAACTGCACTTGTCGATAAGACAAGTTTCAAAAATAGAAAATCTGTGTAAGACCAGGTCACATTATCCAAAGTCTGAGATGAGAAAAAAGAAAAGAAAACTCTGTTTATCCTTTAACGTGAAGTTTCATTGTCGATTATGAACCACAGCACACACACTGAGAGGTTTCCTTCCTGAGTCCTACGAGCTTTTACCTGTCTGACCCGCCTTCGTGGTGACGCGCGTGCCCTGTTCCCAGCATGCGGTGATGGCACACCCTACGTGGTTAACGGCACAAGAAACACTCCCTTCTTGGGGTGAAACCCCAGTGAAATCACGTACATCTCAATATGAGAAAGGACTGCTTCAAAAGGGCACACCAGTGGACAGAGGCTTTGTTACGGCTCAGGAGAGAGAGAAATGAAAGTCTTCTGGAATGTACAAAGGTAATGGTTAACTATACAATCCATGAATTAAACGGGACAGTTTTGATAGAAAAGGGCAAGACCTTGCAGTCTTATAGATGGCTCAATTCAAAGGAATCCCTCCAGACACAGGCAGGGACTGATAACACGTCTTTGCGATAGTGGAGTAACGTCTGAGCCTGCGCCATCCGGCAGCTCCTGGCTGAAGGCATCCAGGCAGAACAGCTGGCGCTGGTCTGCTGCTCTCACTCAGCCAGTGGAACGCCTCATTCCTCCTGTCCTTCTCTCTCCTCTCCCTCCCCACACAACTCCTTCATTCCACCACCTCTGTTTGCAAACCATGTTGTCAAAGTCCAGCTTCTGTATTTCCTTTTTTTTTTTTTTTTTTAAGGAGAAAAAAAAGTAGGCGACTCCCTCAGGCTAAAGAGTTGTGCTATTCAACAAATGAACCTCCTCCTCAGCTTTGTCTCTCTCCTCATCTGTGGGACTCAGTTGAACATTATTGAAGCGGGGTCTTGGTTTGCCGTCTGGGCCATATGACGGAGGATATCTTTTTTTGTTATGATGCCAAGGAGGCGTCTGAAAGGGATAAACAGAAGACCGCTATTAAAATAAAAGGGAAATGAAAAAGAGCAGCTCAATCTACAGCTAAATCCTTCTGGTTGACAGGAGTAGAGCAAAGCAAGCAGCCTGATTTTGTATTTTCAAAAAAATATTTTATTGGTAAAGATAATAAATTATCCAGCAACCATCACTGGATATAAAAAGTATTATGGTCACTAATAGTATGATGTCCTTTCTACTGCGATGAGGACTGCATGCCTCACTGAAGTACAGCTAATGCCAACAAAAGTAACAAAGGGAGGGCGTATGAACAGGGAATTATATTCATCTCATTTGAGAAGGAAAATTCATTCCCATCACAAGAAAGCAATAAAATGTCTGATGGCCAAATCCCTCAATATTCTACATTTTTTAACCAACATTAATCATTAAAACAAAACCCTTAAGGATTGCTCAGTTACGTGTAGCCTCTTCATGCAAGCACATACATTTGAGATAAAATGCATATGAAATGGTTAACGCCGAGCTTCAATCCCCAACTTCAGAACACCCAAGAATAAATCTAAAAAACAGTCCAAGTTTCTAGTACTTATCAATGTTTTCATTTTTTTACTTTGGCCAAAAAAGATCAGGACAGAGTGCTTTTACGAAAGTTTTGGTTGTTAATGGTTAAATGAAAAGACAGGTGAATGATGAAGCAGCAGTCCGAAAAGATTATCACAGGTGCAGCAGAAAGCAGAAGGAATGAGCAGCTACTACATTACTCTGGTTAGTAGTTTTAAAAAAAGGATGCATGAAACACTTGTGAAATATTAGCATACAACAGGAATACACAATCAGTTGCGTACTTAAAAAAAAACGGGACAAGTTGCACATATATATGACAACTGCATGGCAAAATAATTTCAGGCATTAACAGCTAAAGCCAGACAATTTCTATGTGATAAGATAATTCAAAATTGACCTTTAGTCATGAAAACACGAGGACCTAACTGATGCCAGTGAAAACAAAACACACTGGACCCCAAACGCTGCTTCTAGCTTTCTAGAAACACCCTACAAAGGGGCACACAGATAATCCAGGTACAGCTCACTAATGAAATGACGGGACACACATTCTTGACTCTGAAGGTACGTGAGGGATAGCAGGAAAACAACAAATGCTGAGATCACAAGTGTATACATCCTGCTCTAGTTAGTGTGACCATTAAAAAATCCGCTGGATTTTTTTTTTTTAACTGATCAGCAATTCTAACATTGCTAAGATCGTTAAAATCACTTCTGAGCTTTGATTTACCACAAGGCTACCACAGATTGGGAAACATAAAAAAGACAATGGGTTTGGGGGGTGTCAGGCAGGCGTCTTCTGAGGCGGGTGTACCCGCTAAGGTAGACAGATTCGTCATGTTTACTTCATCAATGTCCAGTGAGATTTTACTCATCCAACGACTAAGCTATTTCCAGTTCTTAAATTTTAACTAATGATTTTGCTTACTGTCTATGAATGGAACTTTACACAGAATCTCAATTTATCTTACAGACACAAATGTAACTGGCTGCACAGAAGGGTTTGTTTGCTCAGCGGGTGTCTGGGGAGAGAGCACTGAACAGTTCACAAGTTTCATGCCTCCTGACTTCTAAGGTGTCTACTGAGGAGATCTGATAGAGCTAATCACCAAGGGCTCCACGTGATGCTTTACTTGCTCGAGATGCTCTAATATGTTCTTCTTGGTGATGATCCCCAAGACAATCCTGAAACAGATCATGTTATGCTAATAACTGCGTGAGAAATTAAATTAAAAGAGGTTCCAATCATAATGATAAAGAATGAGAGAAAAAAATAAAACATGAGCTATAAAAATGCTTTTAACAAACTTTAGAAAAATCAAAAATGATTTGAAATCCCGGGTTCCTTTTACATAAGTTCTACTGACTTTCAAAAGTGACACAGTATTACTCTTACATATTGGTGGGTTGTTTCTCCTTTTTACATTAAAAATTAAACTGTCAAGTTTATAATGAAGATGACTACAAAGAACAGTACAAAAGAAACTTAACAGTGATATATAGCTGTAGACCTCCGACAGTGATATATAGCTATAGACCTCTGACATTTAGAGTTTCACTTTCAGTATTCTTTCCTCGGAGGAAAATATTTCTTCTAATTTCTAAGATAGCACAATGCAGCTATCATTTGGATTTACCTCAACCCTCAAAAGATATGAGGAGAAAGCTTAGCCTTTACTGCCTGTGAAGAGAGTTGGACTTTACTGTTAACGGGGATTAAAATTAAAGGCAATGTCCACTAAATAAATAAATACTGCCACAACAGACACACTCTCTAATTGTCAGGAACAATGAATGCTGCTTCTTTCAAAAAAGCCAATAAGATATATTTATAATTAGGAGTCAAAATTATTTTTATACATATAATAATAACATTATTATAACATCAAGCAAAGTGATGGATGTGAATTTTTACAATGCGAATACCCGAAACTAATTAATTAAACTGCTTTTAATTATTAAAACAAAATTCTGGTTACTGGTTTTATAACGGAAGTCAACGAACACAACTGCAGTATGTGGCAGTACAGACAGTGAAAGTAAAAAACCTTAAAACGCTTTCCTCTTGAAATCCTAGAAGCCCATCTACCCCTTCAGGGTCCTTGGGCATTTCCCTGGTGACCTTTTTAAGCCAACTTTCTGTGGTAAACGGCCCCTGAACATTGTGACTGCCGAAGAATGTCACTAAGGGACCTCACTTAGCCAAAGCAGTCTGGTCTCATGATCAGGTCAGCTATAAAATAGTCAGCTGAGATGATGGGAGTGGGCTGGGGGGACATGATCAGGGGGTGGGGACGGGAAAGGCAAAGATAGGGTCTCTGCTAAGGTTTCTTTTTAATAACGTATTGATCCTTAAGACTAACAATAAACGGAAAAGATGTCAGGGCACAGGAGCAACCTCCCCCTCCAAAAAGCTCAGAAACTGCACCACAGAAATGAGCACTCAACAGACGCTCTTACTCAGATCACCTGAATTTAGGGTGGATCAGGAAATGTGAAAATCTTGACAATTAACTACGATTAACACGAGTTTAATTCTTACTCATATTTTTCTATCCAATTATATACAACGATTCATTTCAGGTTACTACGTGTGTGTGTCCACACACACATGCGTGTAAGCTCTGCCAGAGCAAAGGTACGCAATGAGGAAAGTTATAAGCTGGTAAAGACTAGGTGGCAAATTTAGAGCTTTCCAAAGTTATCTTTATATTTACAAAGTCAGAGCCCTAAAGGGAGAAACACACACAGTTCTTCTCTTTAGCTAATGAAAAAGAATGATTTGAAAAGGACTAACTGTCCACAGCTACCAAGGCCTCCACCAGACTGAGTCCAGTACAGCTAGATGGTGCCCGGCTACCACCACTGACTGCTCTGACTGGGATCACAACAGAGCGTCCTGGACAGAGCTGGAGAAGGATGTAGGACAGAATTCTAACTCACAAAAAAAGACCAGATTTACTGGACTGACAGAGACTGGAGAAACCTCGAGAGTATGGCCCCTGGACACCCTTTTAGCTCAGTGGTGAAGCTCCTCCTGAATTTCACCATTCAGCCGGGGATTGGACAGGCTAATAAAATAAAACACGACTAATGAGGCACAGCAGTCCAGGGACAAGGACTAGAAGGCAGGAGGGGACAGGAAAGCTGGTGATAGGAAACCCAAGGTTGAGAAGGGACAGTGTTGACATGTCGTGGGGTTGTTAACCATTGTCATAGGGCAATATGTGTACTAAGTGTTTAATGAGAAACTTTTTGTTCTGCAAACCTTCATCTAAGGTTAAAAAAAAAAAGAATCATCTATGTGAGATCAAACTGACAACAGCAACTCAAAAGGTTTGATAGGAAGCCTAGGGGACAGTGAGTTGAAGACAAGGGTGAAGGAATAATTTGGAAAAGGACAGAATAGCAGCTATGTATATTTTCCCCAAAAAAAGGTTCTCCAAGGTCGAGAAGGGAGTGTTGACATGTCGTGGGGTCGTTAACCAATGTCATAAAACAATTATGTGTACTGACTGTTTAATGAGAAACTATTTGTTCTGCAAACCTTCACCTAAAGTACAATTAAAAAAAAAATTAAAAAAAAAAAAAAAGAATGATTTGGAAATAAGGCCAGGTTCAGTACTAATATTAATTTCAGGGAGTGGAATGAAAATCAATGTAAAATGTGACTCATGCAGAGAATAACTCGTGGTTTTCTTTTGAACTAACATGCAGTGATGTAACCTAGCATTTTCCCAGAGTATGTCCCAAGAAACACTAGTACACGAGATCTCCCCACCACCACCAAAAGGCTGCACGTTCAAATAAGTTTTGAAAACTGTTATTTTCTGGTATCCTCTCTCAGGAAATCGTAAAAAACATGAACATTTTAAAATCCTGTGAGAAGTTCTACAGTAAAGAAATCTCAACTGCATTTAATCCAGTACTCTCCTAACTTATATCTTCCCAGAACTTTTTCTGAGTGACACCTATTAACAATCCTACTAGTTGCACAAAACTAAACAATTTTGAGAAATTCTGCTGTATTAAAACACAAACTATGGGAAATCAATAACTAATTGACATCTTTACATTGCACAGACACATTCCCCCCCACACCTCTCCATTTTCCTTCTCTCGTTGTATTTAAGGTTCTAGATTTGTTGTGTCTCTTCCCCCAAATAATTATTTTCCACCTCTAAGGACCTGGTATAAACTATAAAATGTTGATAGTTATCCAGAACTTCATCCTCTCCAATAAACAGCAGGAGACATGATTTCTTCCCTGGGTTTACATCATTTAAGTTAAAGTGAGAATAAAATACCCTTACTTCCTTACATAAGGAGCCCTGGTGGCACAATGGTTAAGCGCTCAGCTGTTAACCAAAAGGCTGGTAGTTCGAAACCACCCAGTGGCTCCGCAGGAGAAAGACCTGGTTGGTGATCTGCTTCCATAAACAGTACAACCAAGAAAACCCTATGGGTCCGTTCCATTCTGTTGAACGGGGTCGCTATGAGTTTGAGGTCGCTATGAGCAGGGATGGACTCGACAGCACCCAACGACAACTTCGTTACATACATCAAAGAAAATAAAATCCCAAGAGTCATCTCTCCAAATAATCTCTTTTCTTTTTATATGTAATATATCAACTTATTTTCCTTGAAGGACAGAAATAAGCAAAATATGATAGAGGCAATTAAAAACATTCCCTTAGGAAGAAACACCCCTCCCCAAGCAACAAATAAGATTTTAATTGGCTATCCTACACTACCCCCACCACACTTCTTAATTTTACACTTTCTTGTAAACATTTTCCTTTCTAATATCCGTGCTAAAGAAAACCTGGGAATTAATCAGCAAAGTAAAATGTGAAAACTGTCCCATCTAGCTTTACGGTCACAGTTAGTCAGGATGAAACGACATTTGTATCTGTTAGTACAGAAAAGCACAAATCATGCCGGGCACAGGTACCAACGTGAGGCAAACCAAGTTTATAACAACCCAGGTGAGGTGCTTGCTGAGCCATTTAACGGGGAAAAGGGCCCAAGAACCAGTAAAGCTGTATGAAAAGTCACTCCGTTAACATGTACTAAATAAATTTTTAAACAATGCAGTTGGCTACCATTTTTTTTTAATTAAACAATATAAAATAAAAAATAGTAACCAAAATCTTTTACTACATAATGTCTCCTCTAATCATTCAAATTTCAAACTCCCTGCCCTTCATTAACAGCTTTATCCTTTTTGTGATTCGTTTCATGTTCCCTAAGAGTTATTTCAGCTGGTCAGCATGGTGAAGAACACTACTTGTGAATCTAATTCCCTAGCTTTATACGCCTATTCCTAGCCCAACTGTAGAGTAGGGAGACCGCCTGCTCTGCAGAGGTGCTGTGAAGTGACACGAGACGACAGAAGGAAGGTGCTCAGTAAACATGGATGACTTTCCTCTTTCTTCCCTTTTCCTCCTCCCTCTATACTGGAGCCACGTGTTCTCTGTCATCCATGTACTTTGTACAAAATGGACAAAAATCCTTGCTGGGATTCTCTGTGTAGTAGTTTAACCAGCTTCAAGCTGTTCAGGGTTAATCATCCAGTTTATGCCTAATCCAGGAACAATCTTTGCTTCTCCTTTCCAGCCTTTCTGTTATCTGCCTTCAGATGTAACAATGTGCTCACCTATTTCAACTAGGAAGAGTAATATAACGGAAACAGATAGATGAAAATGGACTAAAGAGGTTCTGGGTGGGAAAACCGATCCCAGGTCCGGGGAAAGAGGAGCACAGTGGTAATGACGCAGAGGTGTGTTTGCTGAGGTCTACTGTGCATCCAGTCTCCACAGGGCCTTTGACAGCTGCCGCTTTCCTACATTCCTACCGTGGAGAAACACTGAAGTTTCTGTGGAGAGGCAGAAAAGTAACCGACTGATACATTTTAAGTACGTGAGTGTTTCATTTGTCACTAGCAGTTTATGTGAAAGATGTGTGGACAAAGAAGGCAGACAAGAGGAAACAGCATTTGCTAAAGGAAGCTTTTGGCTAATCTACAAATTTTGCTTAAATATGTATTCTTTCCCTTGTTACATGATACATCAAATACTGGCTGAAACTGTACATATCTAGAAGGTTATGACTGTACCAGAAACGTATATACTGAAGTGAAATCCTTAAAAAAGAAGAGGGCTGTGCAGTACACTCCATGCACGTTAGGCCTGCTATCCCACTATGACGGGGAACGTTCTCAGCTCAACGTGCTGTTCCTGCTGCAGACGTTTCGGCACCTCCTTCCCAGCTCTGAAGTGTCCCCTGACAAATGGCATTTTATATTTTAACAACGAGTGGCAGCGGACACCTTTCTTATCCTTTGGCAAGTGTGGACTTGACTGACCAATTCTGTATTTATAACCACACTAAAAAAAGACTCTCCCATGTGGGAGCCGATGTCTACCCTCTTGTACCCTCTCCTAAGAAGTACGTACAAATTCCCCTAAAAGGGATCATACATCCCGTTGCGTGGACTGACTTCTCTGACACCAAACTTACCCGTTGTGAGTCACAAGGCACTGCCTCAGACCCAGCTTTCGGAAGATATCCACCACGATCTCCATCGGGGTGTGATCTGTCACTGTAAAAGGGCTCATGTCAAGAATGCTTCGAAGCTTCAAGGGTCGGGGACTTTCTGCCGGAAGAGATGGGGTGTGCTGTGCAAAACACACCCGAGAACTGCCAACAATACCTTCCTGCTTTTTTCTGGCACTTTCTGAAAGGAGACAGAGAACAACATTGAAAAACAATTAATTGATAGGTTTGTTTTACGGGCAACCTGCTTATTAAGAGGTAAGGCTTCTGGTCCTTTTACTTTTTCATATCTTCTCCCTAACAAACCAGGAAGGAGCCGAAGGGGCCTTTCATCCTTGCTTTGACTCCATTATGTATTCTCCCCCTGTGAATCAGCTGGTTCTTTCCAGACTGGTTGTTCTTCTTTTCTAATGTTAAAGTATAATTTTCTGGATGAGTCATGAGCACTGCAGATGGGCTGAAACTGCATTTATGCACGTAATGGATACAGACTGATTTGCTTAGGTTATTTTCTTTGTAAAGGATCCCTTCAGTGCGTTCTGGCTCAAGGGCTTCTGTCCTTTGTAAATGTTTTAAAAATGCAAGGGCACAAAGCAGTTGTGTTATTCAACTACAGACGAGGACCTCTGGCATCTGCAAATTTAGTATTCGTGGTTTTAACTACTTCTGAGCAGCTCCAAAGGTCCATAACAGCCAACACAATGGGGATTACCTCCCAATCAGGTTTTTATAAAGACTAGTTGAGATACTATCCCTAAAGCTTGAATTTGAATCACACACAGAGTGGGAGCTCATTTACTTAGAGAGTGAACCTAGTCAACTGCTTTAATTATCTCCACCTCAAGGAGTGGTTATGTGGGGGTTCGCAAAGAGCAGAAATTTAGTCTACTGTAGTTAAATATCACTGAAGTGACCGAATATCATTTAAGTAACCTTGAGGGTTTCTGTCAAACCACAGGTGAAATCTACAGTTCCACAGTGATACAGAAGTCTTTCTGTGCTCTTTCTTACCAGTGCGCCCACAGAATCAGAGCTAATGTAAATCAACTTTCATTTCCCCACTTGCTTCTTTCTTTTCTTCCAGGTTTTTTTTTTCTCCTTTAAGTCTCTATGTAAATTCCAAATTCTGCCCCTATCTCCTTTGCTCAGTTACCAGTAAAACCTGCAGAACGGGAACGTCCTCCTCTGGGCTCTAGCTCTGGCCATAGAAATGGCTTAAAGCTAAAACCCATGACCTCAGCCAAAGCTGACACCTACTCTGCCCTCACTGGCAACTACTATTATTCTATTTCCTTAGGCATAACATGCAATGTAGGGACTGCTTGTTTTTTTTGGAAAACTTTCTTCCAATGCTGTAGACTCTTCCTAAACTACACAGAATGTTATCTGTAGGATTTTTTCTTTAATGCCTCTTGCAAATTTAAGAGTTTCTACTTTGACTTGAGAAATACTCACAGGAATGACCTTGGGGACAGGTCAAACACTCCACATCTCCCCCTCAGGGTCCTCCAGTAAACACTGGGGAGGGACAAACCATGACTCAATGTACCTACTGTCTACCACCTTGGGGGAGTGGGAGGAGCCGGACTGTACGAAAAAGACTTAAAGTCTTACTAGCTTCCTCAAAATATGGCAGGAAATTACAGGGGGAAATATACAAATTTTGGAAGAACACAGTTGCTTCCTCCTCAAAAAGAGTTAATCTCCAAGAAATAATGTACTAAGGCTACTGTCTTTATATTTTCAAAAATCTTTGCATAAAACACAATAGAATTGATATACCTTTTTTTCAATTTGGCGTTTAACCAAAAATAAAACAAAATCTCAGTGATTTTTTTTACTCCAGATATTACAGTTAACATTGTAAACCTAAATCCAAAGACTGAAAAAAGCAAAACCTCGTGAATCTAATACAAAAGGGACCAATGAAGATGGGATTTTCAATAACTTGCATTCAAGTAAGCCAACGTTATTTAAATACAAGAATGTATCCAGCTGGATGCCCTGGCACTTACTAAGATCTTACATTACGTGCTATTAAAAAGAACTAATATCTACTTCACGAGGCTTCTCTGAATGGGAGAAGGAAGAACCTGATCGCAGTCTCTGATAACAACCTCGGAGGGAAAGGTAAAGCCGAACTGGGGAGAAAAACAACCCAAAAAAGACCATAAGACTTTAAGGGCAGAAAACATACCCTGTTTCCCCACAAACCCAACCAGTTATAGTTTATTGTTTTCATTTCTTCTAGAAATCTATCTTGTACATATATTCCTTTTTGAAAACAGGTACCTATTGCAATTGTCAGGTCTCTTCTGAGGGCAAACCCCACTAATCTCTGAGACTCTCTTGACATGATGACAGGAAAGCCATTGTAGCTGGTCCCATTGACCATGTTCTCTATGTCGTCCACCGTCATATTGTCCTGGGTCAGCACCGCCAGGGGCGGATCGCTCCTTCGAGGCCTCATGACATCAGCAGCCAGGGTGGTATGAGTGAATTCTTCTTTTGCGTCCAAGAAAGGGTAGCCGTTTAATCGGATGTGCGCTTCATAAATGCCTTCCCTGCCAAAGGCATCTCCAACCCATTTACTCGTCATCACTGCAGCCATAAGTGGGACGATATATTCCAAGCCTCCAGTAAGCTCGAAAACAATAACCACCAGGGAGACAGTCATCCTTGTCACACCACCTAAAAAAATAAGCACCACTCGTCAGAAAGCACAGGAACTTCGTCACTGTGTTACTAGAACTTCTGCACTAGACAGCTGGACACAAAATTTCAAACAGAACGTAGTCAGTGATAAGCCTTATCATCAAAAACTACTATTCCTCACTTAGGACAAACATCACTACTCTTAAGAAGATCCAGAGAAACACTAATCTTTTTATTTTATACAGTCACAGTTCAAAACTCATTCCCCTCATATTAAAAAAAAACACAAACGTCTAGCTAAAATAATTTTGCTATCTTGGTTTACCCTTATAAAGCTTATTATTAACGCTAAAGGAATATGGTGAAGCGAATCATAGCTATCTTGTTTGGAACCAATTTACAAATAAAACTGATTATATAGAGAGGATTATGATTATAAATCACTGTATGATTTAATAAATTTCAATCCTCTAAATCTTTTCAAAATGAGGAAAATATTGTGATGCCTTGTGATTTTAAGTTAACAGTGTAAGTAATACTCCCTCCCTGAGAAAACTCATCTATTCATTTATGCAAATATTCATCATTCTCAATGACGGCTTCTGTGCGGATGTATTCCTAATCCACATCTCTCCGCTTACTGCCGTGTTTGTCCCATGTCTGCAACTATCCATATACCATATCTTCTTCTTGTGTTTGTCTCCTTGTCTCATTTTCTAGCTATAAAAAGACTTGTAACGTGGATGATCTAGTGTCATTCATCTCACACACACACACACACACAGAGTTCAAATCAAACTCCTTTCTTCCCCAACACACAGACTTCAAATCAAACTCCTTTCTTCCCCAAAGAGCTCTCTGCTTCCACTGACCTGACTCCATCACTGGGCACCACATTCTTCCTGACACTCAATTCTTGGATCATCTCTTTGTTTTATCCCAACATCTAGCCTGTCCCCTAGACCTGTCTAACCTCCTCTACCAACTATCTCCTGTCTATAGTCTCTTTCTCCAAATTCTCACTGTTGTCAACCTAGCCGGGCCCTCAAGACCTTTCTCCTTAATTTTAGTACAAGTCTTATGTCACCTCCTTGACTCCAGGCCCAGTCTCTCAATCCACTTTATAATTCATACTCCCAGGCTAAACTTCCCTAAGTATTACTATTACCACCTTGCTCCTCTGCTCAAAAACCTACCAGGGATTCTAAGCTCATACTGAGGTAAGCTTAAACTCTTCCTTTTTTAACCTAAAAATAGAAAGAAGAAAGGGCCTAATATTTATTAGGTATCTACTGTATGCCAGGCATGTCCTAAGCAGCTTACAAAGGACACTAACTAGACTTTTTTTAAAACTATATGCCAAGCACTGTGCTAACAGCTTTACATGCATTTTATCTCGTACACTCCTCAAAACAAACACAGGAGATAAGTAGCTACTGTTTCTAATTTTATAAGTGAGAAAGTTAAAAATCAAACCAGTTAAGTAACTTTCCCAAAGTCATAAAGCAAAAAATAGCAAAGTCAGAACTTTGTCACAGATCTGACCAATTCCAAATACAAATTCTTCCTAAATCGTGTTCCTTGTATTTTCAGAATCTGGCCCCATCTGACCAATGCAACTTCACTTCCCTAAGTACCCAAAACGCACTTTCTTCTTCAATAGTCCATTCCTTCAATGCCCATGAAAACTAAACTTATTCCCACTTTAAGTCCTTTGTCTTCACGTTGTTATAATCTTCAACAACGTCCTCTCTTTTCTCTCAATTTTTGCATCTAAATTCTACTAATCTTTTAAAACTAAAGCTGATTTCTACCCTTTCTGAACTACTTTAATTCTGTCTTCCTCTGGATTCCCACAATATCGAGGCACTCTAATATTTCACTTAGTCGTGTGTGTATAATCTTACTGTACATCGCTCACTATTGTTTTGTGTTGGTCTTATCTCCCCAACTTGACCATCATGGAGGCTGGGCTCATGTTTTATATTTCTTTTTGAATCACTCACCGCACCTAGCAGTGTGCTAAAAAGAAAGTAGATGTTTAATAAATCCTTGCTAACCAGTTGCTGTGGATTCGATTCCGACTCATGGCAAGCCCACGTCTTTCAGTGTAGAACTGCGCTCTCTAGGGTTTTCATGGCCATGACCTTTCAGAAGCAGATCACCAGGCCTTTCTTCTGAGGCACCTCTGGGTGGGTTCAAACCATCTACCTTTCAGTTAGTAGCCGAGCACTTAACCGTTTGCAGGCACAGGGAATCCTAAATAATTCCTATTGTGGTGGAAATGATTCTGTCCTTTGCTTTCATTTGATATTACACTTTTTCAGATCAATAATTACTTTACACAATTGTGAATTACTTTTAATTCACTGAACAAAAATAATGGTCAAAATAACAACTATTATTAAATATAGTAACCAAAGATTAGCTGGCACTTTAAATATAAAAAGTAGTAACTTTTCACATTCAAGAAGCCAATAAACAGACTCCTAAGGAGTCCCTGGGTGGCACAAATGGTTAAGCGCTCAACAACTAGCCTAAAGGTTAGCGGTTCAAACCCACCCAAAGGCACCTCAGAAGACAGGCCTGGCAATCTGTTTTCAAAAGGTCAGCGCCTTGAAAACCCTATGGAGCAGTTCTACTCTGACACACATGGGGTCAGCATGAGTTGGAATCCACTGGACGACAACTAACAAGTATTTAACGCAGATATTTTGCTTTCCATTAAATGATAGTTACTTTTTATTATTTTGCTATACATGCATCTTAAATGGAGAAAGGCTAGAAAATAAATATTTTCTAAGGCTAACAACTAACTGGAGCCCTGGTGGTGCAGTGTTTAAGTGCTCGGCTGCTAACCAAAAGGTCAGCAGTCTGAATCTACCAGCTGCTCCTTGGAAACCCTACAGGGTAGTTCTACTCTGTCCTATAGGATCACTATGAGTCGGAATCAGCTGGACGGCAATGGGCTTGGGTTTTTGGGCAACAACAAATTAATAACTGTAGAGCCTAAAATAAAGCTATTCTGCATTTGCTGTAACACTCATCTCAGGAACCATGTTACAGGCTGTTTACAGGTAGGCCAAGATCCTTGACAATGAACCACCACAAATATTCCTGGACAGGGTTCAAGTGAAGCCTGTGTTGTACTAAGACGTTTTCTGTCATAAAGTATCATGTGATACACAAAGATGCTAAGCACTATTGAAATGTTGCATCCCCCAATGTTCTGAGGCAGGTAAAATGCAAACCAGTGCTCCATCACACACACCACAGAACTGCCGCTGTACTTCTAGGAAAACCTCTCCTCCCTCTATCCGCCCCTCGCCCCTGGGCCCACGACGCGGGAGGGCTCCCCCTCGGACGCGCCAGCAGCCGAGCAGCTCTGTTACCTAAGCAGGCAGCAGCGCCGACCATGGCGTAAAGGCCAGGGGTGATGCAGTCGGCCCCGACCTCGCACCACTCCTTAAAGAGAAACCAGTCGTGGTGATAGTAGGCGAGCTGCTCCACCGCGATGCCCACGATCCTTCCCGCGATGGCGCCGATGGCCATACTGGGGATGAACAGGCCTGACGGGACCTGCAAGGGCAGTGACACAACACTCAGTGAGCTGGCTCCTCGGCGACAAGCCTGGAGCGTCCATCCCACGGACTGGTTCTGACACGCTTGATGCTGTTCACACTTTATCGACACGGCGAAATCCTAACAAATAATAAGGTAGCAAAACCTTGTGACAGCAGTATCTGAACTTCAGGATCAAGCCATATTCCCCAGAGCAAAGAGAGAATAACTCAAGAGTTCTTTATCCTTTAGCTCAGGGGTTCCCAGATGCTAGCCTCTAACAAAAAATTTGATTAGGCCACAGTGAGAATGAAAAGGGGGCAGGGAGGGACAACACGAAGTGCTTTCTCTAAGGTTAAATCTATGCAGTTTCTAGCACTCCAAGAGGATATCCTTCCTATATAGTTATCAAATCATGGAAAAATTAAATGCTGTTCTTCTTAAGTGGTAGAATGTAAAGTGGGCAACCTTATACAGGTTCCCCAGGATTTTTCATGATACATATGAATTGATTAAAGGGAGAAAAATAGTTACCAGTTCAATTTAACGAGGATCACAGGAACAGCACACATCCTGAGCAGGACTAGTCAAAGGCTAACCGTGCTCAACTACTTTGGATATGAACATGTCAAGCACAAAATGACAGAATGTTGAAGACTGCATGAGGATCGCTGCAGGGATATCCACGGGGAAAGCGTCCAAACAGGTTTCCCACTCTCCTGTCAGTGCCTGCTTCCTCCTCCTCCCGCACCCCGAGCTGAGTGTAACCTGCTGGCTGCCTCCAGCTTCCCACGGCTCAACTGACGTGAGAAAGTGGGGATTTACAGAAAACTAACTCACTGCAGAAAAGGACGCTTTATCAGCAGTATACTACTATTTGTCTTTAACTCAACCCAAAAAAAAAGGCAAGTAAAACCTCAAGGCTTTTCTATTACTTAACTCTTGATACTCGGTGGACTGAACAGAAAAAGGACAAGAGAAAAGAGGGAGACCACACTTCAGAAACGAACACCGCACCACCCCGATTTTATTGGAATAAAGCTATTATTTCACATAGTTTTCATCTCTGAAAGTACACTATCCCTAGCAAATATTAGTACATGAACTACGGGTGTAATGATTTAAAGAACAAGGATTATCTGAAACCTGTCCCCCCATGTACATCACTGACAGTCATACAGAGAGTTATTTAGATTTCCTAGTAGATAACTGATGTCATTCTCACTTTTATAAATTCAAGAGAAAGAACGTTCCAGGGCATAAGGCCTGACTGCCTTAAATCCTTGAGGAAAAAAGGCAGGATATTCACAGGCCTAGTAATTCACTCTGAGTCTACAGTGTTCTTTCGATTAACATCCTGTAATAGTAGACAAAATAATGCCCTCCTCCCCAGCCCCCAACCCCAGCCAAAGACGTCCATATCCTAATTCTCGGAAACTGTGAATAGGTTATGTTACATTGCTAATCAAGGAGATTATTCTGGATTATCTGGATGGGCCCAAAATAATCATAAACCCCACTGCTGTCGAGGCAAATTCTGACTCATAGAGACCCTATAAGGGTCCTTCAGATGCAGAAGAGGGAGGAAGAAGAGTGAGCATCAGAGTGATGTGGTAACAGAAAGACCTGACCAGCCATTGCTGGCTTTGGAGACAGAGGAAGGGGACCACAAACCAAGGAATAGGGGCAGCCTCTAGAGGCTGAAAAGGCAAGAAGAGATTCTCCCCCAGAACCTCCACAAGGGAATGTGGCTCTGGCGACACCTTGATTTTAGCCAGTGAGACCCATTTTGGACTCTGCGTTGCTAGCTACGTGCTGAGTCGGCCCTCGACTCGTGGTGACCCCGTGCGAAATGGAACAAAATGTTGCCCGGTCCTGAGCCATCCCCACTATCGATTACGGATTGAACCGTCATGACCCATAGGGTTTTACTGCCTGATTTTCAGAAGATCACCAGGCCTTTCTTCCTAGTCCACCTGAGTCTGGAGGCTCAATTATAACCTGTTCAGCATCATAGCAACACGTAAGCCTCCGATGACAGACGGGCTGGCTGCATGTGAGGTGCACTAGCCAGGAATTGAACCTGGATCTCCAGCACGGAAGGCGAGAATACTACTACTGAACTCCCACTGCCTCATCAGTGGAGCATCTTAGAGTTTAGAAAACCAAACCCACTGCCGTGGACTCGACTTCGACTCCTAGCAATTCTAAGGACACAGGAGAACTTGTCCCGTAGGGTTTCCAAGGAGCGGCTGGTAGATTCAAACCACCAACCTTTACGTTAGCAGCCGAGCTCTTAACCACCACACCACCAGGGCTCCTTCTGGACTTTAGACTTCCTTAAACTTAAGATAATAAACTTGTGTTACTTTAAGCTACTAAATTTGTGATAATCTGTCCCAGTGGCAACAGGAAACAAATATAAGCAGTATTAAAAACTTGCCCACAAATTCTCTGACACACGTCTCATTAAGGGGTATTGTCTGTCCCTTCCCTGAATATGGGTGGGCCTTTGGGACTGTTTTGACTGACAGAATGCAGTACAGATCATGCCGTGTGACTTCCTTGACTGGGTCAGAAACGGTCCTCTTGGGACACCTGCTTTTGGAGCCCTGAGCTATAGTGTAAGAAATTCAACAATCCTGAGGCCACCATAGGTCCATTGATGGCACCAATAGTTTTCTCTTGGCCAGTAACCAAAGGTTGGCAGTCTGAACCCATCCAGTGGTGCTGTGGACGACAGGCCCGGTGATTTTGCTTCTGGAAGGTTACAGTCAAGCGGTTCTACTCTGAAGCGCACGGGGTCACCATGAGTCAGAATTGACTCGACAGCAGTGGGATTTTCTTTTTTTTTTTTTTGAGGGCACCATGCTGGAAAAGCCACACACACACACACATTGATGTTCCAGTGCCAGGTGTCTGAGTCTTCTCAGCCAGGTGCCAGACATATGATGAAGTGTTTGAGATGACCAGGCCCAACCAAGTGTGATGGGAATGATATAAGAGAACTCAGGCAAAAACTGCCCATCCTTTTAGCTCAGTGGTGAAGTCATTTCCGGGGTTCACTGTTCAGCCGGGGAGTGGACAGCCTCATAAAACCAAATGGGACTAATGAGGTACAGCAGTCCAGGGACAATGGCCAGAAGGCAGAAGGGGGCAGGAAAGCTGGTGATAGGGTTGAGTAAGGATAGTGTTGATGTGTTGTGAGGTTGTTAACCATTGCCATAGGGCAACATGTATACTAACTGTTAAATAAGAAACTATTTTGTTGTGTAAGCCTTCATCTAAAGTGAGAATAGCAGCACAACTGGAAGAGCGTAGTTGATGTCACTGAACTGTGGGTATAGAAATTTTTGAAATGGTGTATCTTTGGCTATGTTTATTTTCACCAAAAAAAAAAAAAAAAGGTCGAGAAGGGAGAGGGTTGACATGTTGTGGGGTTGTTAACCAATGTCCTAAAACAATACATGTACTACTGTTTCATGAGAAACTATTTGTTCTGTAAGCCTTCACCTGAAGTACAATTCGGAAAAAAAAAAAAACTGCCCATCCAAGCCCCTCCCAAACTGCTGACCCAATATAAAAAGAAAGGAGGTAAGGAGGGAAAGGTTGTCTTAAGCTGCTAAGTTTTGGTGTAATTTTTTAGACAGCAACATAACAGGCACATGCTCAACAATATATTCTAAGAAATTCTCTCATCACTTAAAATTAAACCTAAAACTTTTCAGCTTTTGTTTATGAAACCACCACCGCTTTTAGACGAAAACTTCATTTCCTTATTCCATCTGTAAGATTTGAACACGCTCAGATGACTTCAAAATCACTCACCTTGATACCAAAAGTGAACACTGTCATTATGATTTTGAACATGAGTGCTAAGCACAACTGCCAGATAGCAGCATATACTCCAACGCCTGCGGGACGATCAGGAATATCGTCGACGATTTTACTGGCGTTCATATCGTTTCTGTAGTCACAAAGGGAGGAGGATTCCAGGGGACCACAGTCTGTAAAAAGCTCCTTGATCAGTTCACTGGTGTTGAGCCTGGTGTACGGGTTGGGAAAGGCTATCACAGCAGTCACGGCTGCGACCACAATGACTTCAAGAACGGGGTACTTCCCAAATTTTGTGGATTTGCGTCGACGACACCAGGCAATATTTGCCCTAATGAAAAAGGCTCCCCAAAGCCCTCCAAATACCCCTAGGAGAATAAAAGGCAGCAGTTCAAAAAGGTACCATGGTGTATGATACTCCACGTAAAAAAGGACGAGGCGGCTATTACCAAACGGGTTGATGGATCTCAAAACAAACGCAGCCACTAAAGCAGCAAAAAACGATCTCCATAAAGTTTTGAGAGGGAAGTAATAGCTAACCTAAAAAAAGGAAAGGAAAAGAAGATTAATCCCATAATTTTATAAGGTGTCTCTTATATATAACTTGAATGCTAAATATAACAGCTCTGTAGTTTGCTGCAGCTAGAATTCACAGGTAATGAATTTTACTGTAATAAGAAAAAATATTGACGTTTTATTATCTTTGGCTATCACATCATTATAAATTTGGAATATCAAGTGGTCATAAATGCTTAGTAATTATTTAAAATACCTAACATTGCTTTATATTCAAACTGAGCTTCATTGCCAATGCAATCATGATAGTTTAGAATAAATGTACCATCACCGAATCTTCCTAGCTTATAAAAATTTAATTTCTATTTAATTTGTCTCCTCTATATCAAAAGAAAAAAACACAAACTACAAGAAACAAGCAAATTTAAACAGAACCTTTCCTCTGCACAGATGTAAAACGGAAATGCCTTAAGCACTTCAGAGAAAATAAAAATGAAATACTTCACCTAAATGACTAAAATAATTTCCTTAAATATCAGTAACTCTGTATCAGAAACAGTCACACACACAAAAATTTAAAAAGACAATTTTAGAATTGATTTAAAGTTTTTAAATAAAAACAAGCTAAAAAGATACAAAAAAAACCCCCAAACCCACTGCCGTCAAGTCGATTCCAACCCATAGTGGCCCTACCAGACAGAGCAGAACTGTCCCATAGGGTTTCCAAGGCTGTAAATCCTTACGGAAGCAGACTGACTTATCTTTCTTCCATGGAGCGGCTGGTGGATTCGAACCACCAACCTTCTGGTTAGCAGCCGAGCGCTTAACCACTGTGCCACCAGGGCTCCACCAATGGCAATAGTTTGCTTTAAGTATCTCCTATTAAGTTCAAATTCACACCGCTTACTTTTAAATACGTCAACAAAGTAAAATTAAATTTTAAATAATCACTAATGTTTATACATGAATAATGGATTTTAAAAAGACTTCTCAAAGGTATATAACATGTATAGCGTATTACTTTTTATGTAACAATGAGTAAAAAATAAGAATAACCATAATGGCTTATATTTGCAAACAGAAACTAGGACTCATAAGGAACGGATAAAGTGGTTTCGGCAGAGAAGGAAAAAAGACAGGCGCAAGGATGGGGGTAATGAGACGACAGTACCAATTTAAAACAAAACAGGTATTTTTAAAAGAGGATATGAACAACTTTATGAAAATAAATCTAAAAACGTAAAAGCAAAGTCTGTATCCATTATAACCGGCAATAAAACTGAAAAGTATGCCAAAATATTTGTAATGGCAATTATACGTAATTTCAATTGCTGTACTGTTTTTAACCTACCTCTTCCAGGCTAAAAAGAACTCCTCCAATCGGTGCACCAAAAGCCACAGAAACGCCTGCAGCCGAGGCAGCTGAGAGCACCTAGGAAGAGGATTGGGGCTTATTTTAAATTCTTGTATACACTCAAATACACCAAATAAAACTTCTTTGTGTCACCTGAATTTTTCCAATGCCTCTTCTGAATTTAACTCACATACCTGTCTCCTCCCTAAAGAGGACAAGTTTTCATTTCTTCTAAATTGTTTTGCTCTTTTGCTTTAACCAAAAGGTCATTCATACCTTCAACATTCAGTCAGAAAACAGGAGGGAATTAACACGGACAACTTTCAAAATGTTTGATTGTTCAGGCAAAAGAGCGCTAACTGGGTTTGGGAGAGTTTCATGTATTTATTTATTTTTAATAGGATATCATCTCTTCTGATTTTAGAGCTAACTACCTCATCACTAAAATTCTTACTCTATTTCAAATTGTTGCAAGATATCCAGGGAACTTAAAGCCTATTGAGTTTCCCTACGTTTTCAGTACCCTAAGCCACAGGGCCTCAAATATACCAATGATTATGAAGCCGGCACAGCAGCAGACAGCATTTCGTTCAGCTACACACAAGGTCTCTGGGAACTGGAACTCACTCAACAGCTACGGAGACCAACCACCCAGCCCTCTGAATGCACTGCTACTGCAGATACAGAGCCTCACATCTGAAAGCACCAACGACAGCCATCACTCAAGTTAGTCTCACCAAAAGAACCAGGACTTTAACAGCTAATTAAGTTAACGGAAGAGAAAAATTCACAAATCCTCTTCTGGGTCCGTCTCCCAACTCCCAAATTCTGTCACTGGGTTACTGCCCACTTCCTACCCCTGTGACACCAACTACACATACAATTTCACAGGATGTTTATTTATTTGTAATTATTTTTCTGAGAATCTTTATGCCTTTCACTACTTTCCTCTAGTAAATTATATTTGACGCTACCCAAAACATTCCTCAAATGTTCAGTATTTACATTTCCGAAAGAGAAATTAAAAATAAGCAAAATGAAACTGTACACGGTGAAAGGCACTGATTCCAGTCAGGCTGCCTGTTCCACTTTTAGAATATCTACAGCCAATGTAAGGACAATATTTTAATGCTAACATGAAAATAAACTAGAATTATTTCAATTGAAGTATTAAATATTTTAAAATCATTTACTTTTTTCACTAATGTCACATAATGAAAAGGTCCTGTGTTGGGGCCAGAGACACCTGACCCTTGAATTCTCAGTATTACATGAGATGTTAAAAAAAAAAAAAAAATCACCCCTTACAAAGCCAAAGATCTCTGTACTATCTATCTAGGGCTGCAGATTAAGACTGAGAAAACAGGAAGGGGTTAGTTTGGGGTTCTCAAAGACTAGAGCTAACATGGAAGGCTTCATAAGCCTGTTTTTCTTCTAAAAAATACCCAGAGCAATCTAAAAACATTTGGGGAACTCTATAATATATGAAGTTCAAAAGTCTCCTAGAAGACCGTACGCTGGCCTGAAAAATAAATGGTCAAGGAAAATTGTCCCGTAACTGAATAAACAGGAGTCCTTGAGTCCCCTTTAATGTAAATCTCTGATTTAAACCTCAGGAAGTCCTAAAGGCCTCAGAACTTCCCCATGTTACAGGATAACTCTCTTCAGATCACACACCACATCCACTGGCATTAAACACTGCCTCCAGGAGGAAAACAGAGTTTTTAGATTTCCCAACCCTAAAGAAATACTGATGATGAGAAGTAACAGTAAAAACAATGTTCCATTTGAAAAACCTTTCAGAGTGGAAAGGTGTAAGGCAAAGTGAAAACAAATGGACCTTTGTGAAATTCAACTGAAACTCAGTGGATGCCAGATAGTTTAGCTAAAGCTTCTCTAAGATACAGGAGTTACCCTTTCAGTACTGGGGATGGCTTCTAGAAAGACATCAGAGATTATTCAAAACAGGAAAAAAGAAGCACAAACTAATCCCAAGTAAAATTTTTAATCTGAATACAGAATTTATCCAAAAAGTAAACAGTACAATGTGATCTTTACACTAAGAAATCCTTCACTGATGTAAGTCTGTAACAGATATTCTTCTGTCAAATGAACTACGAAAGACACTTACCTCCCTTTTTTTAGCTTCATTTGTGCTATACTTCGGAAAGAGGTAGGAAAATATATTTCCACAGCAACAGGCGACATGTACCAAAGGGCCTTCTTTCCCTAAACTCAAACCTGATGCCACGGCCAGTACTAAAGTGATAGTTTTAATCATTAAAGTCCATTTTCCCAAGTAACCTCTGATGATGAATCCACTCAAAATAGTTTTAATCTACAAAGGGAAGATTAAGTCATCTCAATTTTCTTTAAATAAACACGAGAATTTCACTTAATAAGTTATTATCATGCTTTAGTCACAAAACTACTTGCAAATGTTAATGAATTAAGGAACAATTCACGATTAATTTTTCAAAAGGTTTAACTATTATGCTACATGTAATAAATCTGCACCATATTCTAATTCTCTACCCAAAAAAGGATAGAAGGCAACCCTATCTCATGAACAAAACTAAAATATCAGCCCATGTTAAAGTGAATATAGACCTTAATTACAAGCATTATAAATACATAACCAGGAAAAGGCAAATTTTAGTATTGCTGTTCGAGAAATAAACATAATATTCACATACATTCCAGACATTCTGAGTCAGAGATAAAGATATTACACTTTCTCAAAATATGATAATTATGGGTATTTTTTTCTATGTATCAAAAAGGATGAGTGACAGCTGCCAAGTAATAAACAATTATTGCTACCTATCAAAAATATTCTTAATACAGTTTTAAAAATCATTGCAATCTCGTTTTAAAAGGAAATGCATTAGAAAAAGCTGGTAATCATTTAAGTACAGTAAAATAAAAAGAGGGAAAAAGGAAATGATTTCCTATCAAGTTCAATTCTAAGTATATTTACCTTTAAATTACTGTTGATAAGAAATAAAACCTAAAGTTTATACTATTGACCCACTGTAATCAAATATTTATTTTGAAGTATATATTGGTTGTGAATATCTGCCAAATTAAAGCATTATTAATTTATCTAATCCGAAGTTAGTTATGAAAAGAGAACGATTGTACTAAAATCAGATTCACCATGGTAAAGCATCAATAAATCAATCAAATAACTTTAAGCCACAAGATACTTTTCTAGGCATTTAGTATTTATTCAAGTTTTCCGATAATTTGTTTAGCAAACCGCTACATTAGTGTTAAAAAAAAAAAAAAAATCAACCTCCACAATTAATGATGAAATGACTAGTGAGAAAAATTGTTTTCAACATTGTCTACGATCAATTGCCATTTAAAAATTTTTATTTTTCATATTTAAACCATTTTCCCAGAAAAACTACTTTTCCCCTCTAATGACAAGGAGACACGCATTGTAACAATTACTAAATGTTGACTGATACTAAACACTGCACAGCTCACCTCTGGAATTCCAGAGCCACAAGCATATGGAGCAAACACCTTTACTAGCGAAACTGCGAGAAAGGCAAAACTCAAGGCCCAGAAGATGTACATTATGTAGTTCATGATGTAAGAACCGGGACCCTAAAAAGCAAATAGTTTAATAGTATGAATTTTAATTTATACTGTATCTCTAAAGCAAGTTCTTGTCACATAAGAAACTTTATCAAAAATTGTTACCAACTGATTTCCACAATAATAAAAGCTTTATATTAAGAAAATACTTAAGTAGCGTGCCAAAACACATTCCTAGACATATCAAGGAGCCTCAAGCCCACTGAACGTTTTTCTTAGCTTTTTCCTAATCCCTAAAATCTTGTTACCAGGGCATCTCAACTGTACTCCAACCTCTGCCCACCCACAACAGATCCTTGGAAACTGCTGGTGGACATAAAATTGCATTGGCAAAGCACTCAGACTTATTCTGCTGCAATTCTCCTGAAAACCATTAAATCAAATGCAATTCAATTAGGCCAGGTGAGAAACAGCACAATGTTCATCTTAAAAGCAGATACGTTCTTTTTAGTTCTAAAGTTCAGCTCTAGTAAAATTTAAAAAATATATCTATATATGATCATGCCACTGTACATACGTATATATATGACCTAAGTTCTCAAATGTTCTTCATTACAGAACATTCGTAAAATAATCAAATACTATAATGCCACAAAGAAAAATTAATTTCTTCAAGAAATCTCCACTCAAAAGGGTTATTTTGTATATTTTTTATAAGTCATACGTTCTTTCCAAAATCTGAACAATCTTAATAATGTCATATATTAAAGTTTGGGTAACTTGACTTCATATTAACTTTTTTTGGCTACACAAATCATATATTGAGGTGGCTTCCACTTCCTTTTTACTGCAACTCACAATAAAAAATACATTTCACATCGTAACTCAGTACACTTGTATATTCCTACGCCGTTAACTAATATAACACCTTCTTGAAACAATACTTTCTTTATTGCTGCAATGTACTCTCATATTTTCCATTTTATTCTATTCTAATTTTTTTCTTTAATGTGGGTTGCAACAACGTAAATTGATTTCATGACTCCCTAACAGGTCTCATTTTGGAAAAAAAAAATTACTACAGCATAATATGTGGTTAATTCTGTAACTAAATGAACTGGAGACTCTTTTCTTTTTTTTTTTTTTTGTGCTTCAAGTGAAAGTTTACAATTCAAGTTAGTTTCTCATACAAAAATTTATACATACACTGTTATGTGACCCTAGCTGCTCTCCCTATACTGTGATAGCACATTCCTCCTTTTCACCCTGGGTTTCCCATGTCCATTCAACCAGCTCCTGACCCTCTCTGCCTTCTCATCTTGCCTCTGGACAGAAGCTGCCAATTTAGTCTCATGTATCTACTTGAGCTAAGAAAGCACATTCTTCACGAGTATCATTTAATGTCCCATAGTCCAGTCTAATCTTCGAAGAGTTGGTCTCAGAAATGGTTTTAGTTTTGGGCTAACAGAGAGCCCAGAGGCCATGTCTTCCTGGGTCCCTCCAGTCTCAAACCATTAAGTCTGGTCTTTTTACTAGAATTTGAGTTCTGCACCCTACTTTTCTCCTGCTCCATCAGGGACTCTCTGTTGTGTTTCCTGTTGGGCAGTCATTAGTGGTAGCCGGGCACCATCTAGTTCTTCTGGTTTCAGGCTGATGAAGTCTCCGGTTTATATGGCCCTTTCTGTCTCTTTGGCTAATACCTTCCTTGTGTCTTTGGTGTTCTTCATTCTCCTTTACTCCAGGAGGGTTGGGACCAAGCGATGCATCTTAGATGGCCACTTGCTAGCTTTTAAGACCCCAGACGCCACTCACCAAGGTGGGATGTAGACCATTTTCTTAATAAACTTTGTTATGCCAATTGACCTAGATGTCCCCTGAAAGCATGGTCCCCAGGCCCCCACCCCTGCTACTCTGTCCCTCGAAGTGTTTGGTTGTATTCAGGAGACTTCTTAGCTCTGGTTTAGTCCAGTTGTGCTGACTTCCCCTGTAGTGTGTGCTGTCCTTCCCTAGTGGTTAAGAGCTACAGCTGCTATCCAAAAGGTTGGCAGTTCGAATCCACCAGGCACTCCTTGGAAACTCTATGGGGCAGTTCTACTCTGTCTTACAGGGTTGCTATCAGTCAAAATCGACTCGACGACAACATGTATTTTAGGTTTTTATCTAGTTAGTGAATACCCCTCCTTCCTCCCTCCCCACCCTCGTAATCATCAAAGACTGTTTTCTTCTGTGTTTAAACCTTTTCTAGAGTTCTTATAGTAGTGGTCTTATACACTATTTGTGGAGATTTGTTTTGCTGTATCAACTATTATTTCATCTTAAGACAAAGCAAGACTTACCTCCGCTTGACCTATGATCAATTCTGCCCACGTTTTCCACTGTGGACACTTATCCCTCTCTTCAAATGTTGTTTCATTAGATCCCCAACAACACTGTTCGTGATTATACCACAATGCACCGAGGCAAATGCCCTCTTTGAGGTCAGTCATCCAATCAGCAGCAATATCTATTAATCCAGCCAACGCTCCTGTAAAAACACGTTGGAGACAGTAAAATAAATACCTCCATTTTTTTGGAAACTGCTAAGAACTATCAAGTGAAGAGGTTCATGAAAAGTAGATAAGACTCCCTATAAATAAGGCATAATATAGCATATATTATGTAAATTAAAGATTTTTAAAATTTTAGTTATAAAAAAGTTTATATTAAAAAAACTGTAAATAGCATTTCTTTAAAATAAAATTTATATTCTTGGTTTGAATCTAAAGTCAGTTACACCAACCAAATTAACTGTGATGCAACAAAAGTGTTTAAAAGATTATTTAAAACAATCTTCAAAAGACAGCTACCTGGCAGGAAGTTCATAAATCTGGTTATTGAAGTCAAGGTTTTTACTAGCACGTTTCAATCCAAAACTTAATCATCAGATAATCAATCCTATTCCAATTTAATGTCCATTAGCAACTGAAATCCATAGTATTTATGAATTACTGCTGATAGGCAGTTTTTTCTTTAAATATCAGAAAACCAAATATATCCAGATTATTTCACTTACAGACTACAAAAAACACAAATTTATGGTCAAAAGCTGGAGCTTATTCATCATATGAACAGATTAGTCATGTACACACTGGCCGCAAAATCCTTACGCATATGCCAATTAGCATTTTTAGTACTTCCCTCAATTCTCCACACAAATTTTAATTTTTCTTCATGATCTTCTGGACATAACCTTCCACGGTGGAAGCTGAAAGTCATTTAAAAAAACAAACCAAACCAGTTGCCACTGAGTTGATTCCAACTCACAGTGACCCTATAGGTCAGAGTAGAACTGCCCCACAGAGTTTCCAAGAAGCAGCTGGTGGATTTGAACTGCCCACCTTTTGGTCAGCAGCTTTTAACTACTACGCCACCAGGGCTCCAAGCAATCCTCAATATTTGTTTTCAGATCTTCAAAAGCTATTTCTTCGACTCTCACACATAGGGACTTTGCGGCCACTCTGTATACCATGGTGGTTAAAGCTGCAGGCTCTGGAGTTAGACTGCCTGGATTCAAATCCTGCCTTGCCCACTTACTACCTGTGTGACCTTAACAAGTTACTTAACCTCTCTGTGCTTCAGTCCCCTCATCTGTAAAATGGTGATAATGACAGCACCTAAATCATAGGAATGCCATGAGGTTTAAATACATATAAAGCTTTTAGAACACACATTGAGCACTCAAAAAATATTAGCTATTTATTATGATATTAACATTAAAAAAAATACTTTTGATCATCTGGTTCAAACCACTTATTTTACAGACCCAGAAACTGAGCTCAGAAAGATCAGTCTAGGTGGACAGACATCGGAAGTGACAGAGCCAAGACTAGACTGTGAAGCCTCCCGCCTCCTCGTCTTACGTACAAGAAGATTTTTTAAAAGAAAGAAAAAAGGTTTATAAACATCCAACATTACCTGAAAAAGAACGGAGGTAAAGAAGGCAGAACTACAGTCATAGTTTAGTTCTGATAACCTAAAAAGGGTTGCTTTAAAGCTTTTCTTTACCTGACGCCAATCCTGTTAGCGTTACTACCAGCCATCCCGACCATGCGTCGTACAAGCTTTTTGTCATTTCCCATGCTGATTCTTTCTTTTTGCTGTTGATCTGAAATTAGAAATGTTTATGCTTCATTTTTCAAACTATGAATAGAAGCCACAATTCTAGAGTCTCACAATTTCTCTCAAACACCATACATGGGACAGTCCTTTCTGAATGAAATAATGAGAAAGGTGAGTTTTGGGCAGAACCACTGTCAGACAGTTGCTATAGCAATCCACATGGCAAGCGTTCACCCAGAGATCTGCATTTTTAACAAGAATTTCGGGGGGTCTGAGTGCGAGGAGTCCACAAACCGTATAAAGTCTGATCTAGATTATTTTTAAATGAGTTCAATTCAATGAACTCTAGCTGACACACCTAAGTAATATTAATAAAAATGAGACAATATGACTTGAAATGTCTGTCATTCTCTGGTCCTATCAATCGACGGGATTACAATATTCCTGAAGAGGTAAGAGCAGTGAGGGCCAGAAAGAACCATGCCCTTAAATGTAGTGTGGGGCAGCTATGTGAATAAAGGGACTCTGGAAGTCACAAGGCTACTGGAAATACGCAGGTATGGAGAGCTTCAATCCCACTAGAAGGCTTCAGGGGCTCTCTTTCATCGCTGTGTGACGCAGAAGAAAGGTATCTTCTGCTGAATGTAGTGAAGGAGCTGAGGAGATTACCAGCAAGTTAGTAGATCTGATTTCCAAATTTCACCTACTAAGACACAAAAGGGCAAGTCTCGCCTCTTAGTAAGAATGCACTTCTAAATCTGTCCCTAACTAGCCCAAATCTCTTCTGTTCTTCTAGAATTGCTGCTTTAAAAGCCACATTCTCAGTCTAGAACTTCAGCGTTCAACCGTTTGTCCCGCAGGAGAGCTACACCTGAAATTCAATGCCCTGGTCTATTTCAAGCCCCAGTCCATTTTCAGCCTCAAGGCTCCATTAAAAAGACCCAGTAAGTTCTAAGCTGAATGATACTCCAAGCAACCAAACACAGTTACCAGCCACTCTTTAGGAATGAAGATAATTCTCTCAAAATAATCACTAACCCCCATGTAGCTTTTTCTCAGTAAGGACAGCTGTCACGTTTAATAAAATATAAAGTCACTTTCAACCTGAGTCACTACAGTTCTTATTCTATCACTGCTTGCACAGGAGCTCAGACAGGCACTTTACAAACATGCTCGATACCTACTGCACACCAAATGCACAAACAGGTTCACCGTACTACTGTTCCTAACAAAATCTGGCAATCACCTAAGTGTTCATCAACACAGTACTGGGAAATAAATTGTAGTACATCTACGTAATAAACTCTACAGCCATTAAAAAATAATGAGACAGACACAGTATTATGCAAGAAAAAGGTAAGGTGGCTAAAAGTGTGTATAGCATGCTACCCATTATATAAAAAAAGACAGGAATATAAATATGCCTTCACATGTGAAATGCAAACATTCACTTAAATTTATGTTAACATCTAACATATTTGATGACCCGAGGTCAGTAGCAGAAACATATTATTAAATGATCCAATTATGCACTGTATTTCAAAAAAATTACTGACAACACTTACCCGTCTATGCCTTTCTCGGTCTTTACATTTCTCTCGCACCCAATCAATAGTGTGGAAATCATCATATGTACCAACCCCTGGAATTGGTTCATCTAAAAGATCCAGTAAGTGCGTAGAGCTGTTAATGCTGCCTCCATTTGTCATTGTATAATGAGTTCCTACAGAGCAGAGAAGGAAAGAGAAGTACGTTGTATCAAAGCAATGGCTGGCTAGGTAACCTTCTTAGAAGTTCATTGGTAAGTCATACAGAAATGGTACCTCTTGAAATAATTTCAGTATATAGAGGAAAGTGTTAAGAAAAATTATCCAAAACTTGGAAATACGGCAAAAAGATTATGGCATGTCCTTTTAAAGTCATACCAAGTATCAACAACAAGCCTGCCTGAGGGCCATTTGATGCTCCAGCAAAAGAGAACTTGGACTTACTATTCACTACCGATTAGAACATAAGCCCCCAAAATCCGTTGCAGTTAAGTCGATTCTGACTCACAGCAAGCACCCTACAGAACAAACCAGAACTGCCCCATAGGGTTTCCAAGCCTGTAAATCTTTATTTAAGAAGACTGCCACATCTTTCTCCCACAGAGCAGCTGGTGGGTTCGAACTGCCGACCTTTTGGTTAGCAGCCAAGTGCATAACCACTGTGCCACCCAGGCTCCTCAAGTTGGGGTTACCCAACCCAACTTATATTTTAAAACCAAGTTCCGGTACTGAAGCATTATCAAATGATTTTAGTCATGCTGTTGTCGTTAGCTGCTGTCAAGGCAGCCCCAAGTCATGGCGACCCCATGCAAAATGCAAAGAAACACTGCACAGTTCTGCATCATCCCCATGATAGGCTACAGATCAGGCCATGGTGATCCACAGGGTTCTCCTTCGGCTGATTGTCAGAAGTAGATCACCGGGCCTTTCTTCCTAGTCCATATAAGTTTAGAAGCTCCACTGAAACCTGTTCAGTATCATAGCAACACGCATGCCTCCAATGACAGACAGGTGGTGGCTGTGCATGAAGTGCATTGGTCGGAAATTAAACCCAGGTCTCCAGCATGGAAGGTGAGAATTCTACCACTGTCTACCAATGTCTCATTTAGTCATTGTCATGGATTGAACTGTATCCCCAAAAAGTATGTGTCAACTTGGCTGAGCCATGATTCCCAGTGTTGTGTGGTTGTCCTCCATTTTGTGATCTGATATGATTATCCTATGTGTTATAAATCTTAACCTCTATAATGTTAATGAGGCAGGATTAGAGGCAGCTATGTTAATGAAGCAGGATGCAATCTACAGGATTAGGCTGTATCTTGAATCAATCTCTTCTGAGATATAAAAGAAAGAAGCAAGCAGAGAGGAGTGGGACCTCATACCACCAAGAATGAAGAACTGAGAGCAGAGCACGTCCTTTGGACCTGGAGTCTCTGAGCCGAGAAACTCCTAGACCCAGGGGAAGACTGATGACAAGGACCTTCTCCCAGAACCAACAGAGACAGAAAGGCTTCCCCAGGAGCTAATGCCCTGAATTTCGACTTCTAACCTCGTAGACTGTGAGAGAATAAATTTCTGTTTGTTAAAGGCATCTACTTGTGGTATTTCCGGTACAGCAGCACTAGATAACTAAGACAGTCATGTTACCTACATTTGTTATAAGGAAATCTTTGGACAGTAGTGTCTGAAACTACATGGATTAATCTAAGAAAATTTCCTAAAGAATATGAATCTTGAATTGTAATTTGAAATAATTAGGCTATGATTTCACAATGAGATATTACAGTTACCCGTTCTATCTTAGATATGCTTACACCTATTTCTGAAAAAAGGAACATATGATGTGAATGATGTCTGTGAAAGATAGTTTATACTACTATTAGAAAAAGAGTCTGGAGAAAAAAGGCCAGCTAAGAAATATCTGTTAATCCAAGAGTGGCTATTATAGGACTTGAGTCTTACTTTCACTGCTAGAAGAAAAGATTGATACAACCATTTTGATGGGTGATTTAGAAAAATCTACCAAAATATAAAACAATCCAGAATTTCTATTTTTGGTAATTGTTTCTATAAGAGCATAAAGACTTAAATGAATTATATATATCTATGCAAGGGAATACAATGCAGCAGTTAAAAACAATGAGGCAGATCAATGTATAGTGATATAGAAAGTCAGCTAACAATATATTTTGCAGTTAAAAAAAAAGGTTAGTTGCAGATCATCATGTTTAATATTTTTGTAAAATTTTTGTTTGAAAATTATGCTTATCTGTGTATTTATATATACAGAGAAAACAGTATGAACAGATATGTGATAATATATTAACAATGCGTACCCTCTAGGGTGTAGAATTGTTGGAAAAAGCAGAGAATAACTTTCATTTTCTACTTTACGCTTACAGATTGATATACAATCAGTTTTCATTATTTGGGGTAGTTATAAAAAATCAGCCAATGACCAAAACTAGAAGTTTCCTGAATACAATCAAACACTTCGAGGGACAGAGTAGCAGGAGTGGGGGTCTGGGGACAATGCTTTCAGAGGACATCTAGGTCAACTGGCATAACAAAGTTTGTTAAGAAAATGTTCTGTATCCCACTTTGTTAAGTGGCGTCTGGGGTCTTCAAAGTTTGCAAGCGGCAATCTAAGATGCATCAATTGGTCCCAACCACCTGGAGCAAAGGAAAATGAAGAACACCAAAGACACAAGGCAAGTATTAGCCCAGGAGAGACCAGAAGAACTAGACGGTGCCCGGCTACCACCAATGACTGCCCTGACAGGGAACACAACAGAGAGTCCTTGATTGAGAAGAAGAAAAGTGGGGTGCAGAACTCAAATTCTAGTAAAAACACCAGACTTAATGTTCTGAGACTGGAGGAACCCCAGAAAGCATGGCCCTCGGACTCTCTATCAGCCCAGAACAAAAACAATTTCCAAGGCCAACTCTTCAGACAAAGATTGGACTGAACTGTGGGACATAAAATGATACTTGTGAAGAGTGTGGTTCTTAGCTCAAGTAGATACATGAAACTAAATGGGCAGCTCCTGTCCGGAGGCAAAATGAGAAGGCAGAGAGGGTTAGGAGCTGGTTGAATGGACAAGGGAAATCAGCGGTGGAAAGAGGAGTGTGTTGTCACAGTATAGGGAGAGCAATTAGGGTCATGTAACAATGTATGTATAAATTTTTGTATGAGAGACTAACTTGAAATGTAAACTTTCACTTAAAGTACACCAATAAACAACAACAAAAATCAATAAAAAAGAAGTGTCCATCAGAAGGGGAGGGAGTGTAAAAAAAAAATCAGCCAATGAAAACCCTATGGCTCACAATGGTCTGATCTGGTTGCGCACTGGGTGGCCAGGAGGCGCGGAGACTTGACAGCAGCTAATAACAACGACAAACATTACAAAGTTGCTGTGAACGCTGAATTAGCAAACACTGAGCCATCTCCCCGAGGGGAAACGCAGGGTTAGTTTTTGGGGAGTCTCTCATCACAAAAAGACACGCTGTGATAAGAGACTCCCAGAAACCTAACCCTGCGTTTCCCCAACATGTTCGTCAACCGAGCAATACGTAATCTTTTAAGTGTGTTTCTGTTTAAAGACACCTGATTGAACACATATTTCTTACAAATAATTAGTCACATGCAGTGTTTCTAATAATAAAACACTCCCAAGAAGCGTCTAACACTTTCCTGACCCTGAGCCACGGGACTATAAAGTTCTCTGGCTTGTAGTCTCACGATGCTGTCCACTATGCTTTTTTTCTTTTTTAATCAATCATCTCATGATTTTATAAATTTAGGCCCTTTTCCATTGCTTCATCATGCACTACAGATGTTGCTTTAGCATTTTTTGGAATTGGCCAGTCCTCCTCCTTTTTCTGGATGTAGCGTATTATTGATTCATTACCACTGAACTCACGACTAACAGCACTATAACTCACGCCTCAACAGAGCTTACATAACACATGTATTTTCCCCAAAAGGCACATTATGGTCTTCCTGTGCCTAAAGGTGGCACTAAACAGACTGCGAGAAGGACGTGTTTATCGCATGAAAGCTGAAACAAAAAGGCAGGGCGTAGCTCTGCTCAGCAAAACTGGGAACACGAACATCAACTGAGTCAAAGTTTCAGGCCCTCTGTGCGTGTTCCCGAGTAACAGTAAAAATGCACGGAATATTGATTTTGAGGTTACCAATCAATTTTAGTTAGTAGGTAAATTCACGCATATGGACTCCACAAATAATGAGAATCAACTGCGCATTTCACAGTGAAAATTACTTTTCTAAACAAACATACATAATATATTTTAGTAGTTACTGGAATAAACTGTGAAAATACGGAAATTCTAACAGAGCTAACCATTACATAAGTGATGAAAGCGACAAAGTAGCCCCAAAGACCCAGATTCTGGTCTGCATAGCTATTTAACTTTGGACAAGTCATCCTCACTTATCAAATATATGGCAACAACATCCTTGAAAACTATGATACTTACTACAGCTTATAATAACAATGTACAAAGAAGCATTTGAAATTTTTCCAAAGCACTGAAAACTTTAAAAACCTTGTACATAAATTCAAATAGATGATTTTATTATATATGATTACAAGTTACATCCTCAAATTATTTAGTAGTAATATAGATTTTATGCCAAAAATAGTAATCTAGAGATTATTTAGGAACTGTATAATTTTAATGAAAATGTGTGTAATCATTTGATATAGAATATAAGGAGTAACACTCCTTAAATAAAGCACAAGAAAAAAACCAAACCAAACCAAACCCGCTGCCCTTGAGTCGATTCCCTATGACTTGTAAGGAATGAAGCAAAATTCCCAGACCACTTCCGTAGTCTTTCAGACTGCCTAAACGGACTCATCCCTTTTTATCTGCAGATACAGAAACAATCTAGTATGTGGCAAAGTCAGAATCTGAATTTTCCCCTAACTACTATAAACACTGTCTAGACTATAGCAGAGATAATCTTAAATCATTTCAGGAGAGGGGAGGGCGGGGGGGACACAAAGAAGAGCCACCATTCTAATACTAAGGACTAATTTTATTATTATTAAGATACAGACTAAATAAACTATACTGTAGGTTACAGGCTCTGTTTCTTGATAATTCAAAGAAGCAATAGAAACAAGATATTAATATAAAAAACCAA